AAAAAATAATTGAAAATAATTGTTTCCATCCAATTTGTGTTTGCTACATATACACTCGAATAATAAAAGTGACGATTTAGGACTTTATTTGATTGATTTTGTACATAAAGCATATATGTGTTATTTTGTTAGCATGTGCCACATCCACACATATACTTTATGTACAAAAAGAAACTAACGCATGAAGAGAATACAGAAAAGCGATAAATAACTACTTTTATTATTCGTGGTAGCTGTGTTGGGTCCGTAGTAATAAAATAAACCGGATTTAACGAAACTGAGTGAATGGTGTTTTTCCTCTGTTGAGCTATCTCGCATGATGAAAGATCATTTTTAGAAAATATTTTTACATGAAAGTGATCGGTTTTTTGTGTTTTTCTTACATTTTTTGTTATATCCAGTGATTTCTGTTCACAGAATTTCTGAACTTTTTTTTGTGTTTTAAAATGCCTGAAATAATTTATTCAAAAAGAAAATATATAAAAAAAATTGAAGACGGTAACAAAAAGTGTGCACTGTTCAGTATGTTTGTTTCATTTACGCTTGCGCTACATGAAATAGTTGTGTGATTTTTATTGGATTTCCTCTATTTAAAACCGTACGTTTGAATATTTTAACGTAACGTTAGCAGCATGCCCTTGTGACATTCAAGTTTTATAACGATTTTCTATCATTTCTTAGTGAAATAAAAACTAATTAAAAATAATTTGATAAAGTTAACTCAATTTTATTTCGAAATTTTTTTTTCATTCAATTTGTACAATTTATACAGTTGCTCTAATTACGCATATTTTTTTTCATATTTCCAAATAAGAACGAAGTGAATGAATACTCTGCAACACTTGTGGAGAAAGTGTACACGTAGCTAACTAATGGCAAGGAGGCCTACAATACCGCGGAAGTGAAAATGCCAGGTTAGTTCAAAAATTGGTTATGGATTAAGAGATAATAGCACAGTTCTCCACCTAAAAATTGTTTAAAAAATAATACGTCGACATTTTTTGAACATGAATCGAACACTCCGATGTTTATCGCTTGAAGAACTGGTAGACGTGTCTCTTTATTTCATTTAAATTGATTGCTTTCAACAAGAAATATCCCATGGCCTGGAAATGCCTATGTAATTTACATATAAACGAGTGAGACTCAAACATGTACTTCTTCTTCAAAACAATACATACACACTAACTCACAAACATCAAATGTATACGTCATAACAGCAGTGTAAACACAAATACATGCGCACGCTACTCAGCTTTGTTTCTGTGATGAATACTTATTGACTTCTGCTGTTCATGTGATGCTTGTGTATGTATTGTTTTGAGAAGCAGATAAACTATGAATTGAAAAGCATATAATGTATTTAAACTATCATGTGGTTGAGTACGCACTTTACTTCCAATTTGAATTTGTACTTATTAAATGTCAGTTCAATGGAAAGCACTTCGATCAAAAAATGACTCAGTTGTCATTTGAAAAGAAAATTTAAAGGATTCTAATGCATTTCGCTTTAATTTTTCTACATTTTATTGATGGTAAGCATTTTGCGTTTGGCTCTTGTTAGTTTCGTCAGTGATTGGAACCACATTATTTGGATATTTGCTGTGCTATCAGTAACAATGTGAATAAAACTTGTTTGATAAACTTGACGTAATAATACATCATATTGTGAAATACATGATAAATAGAGATCTGTTCCCTCCATTATTCTGTCGATATTCTATGAAAACACAATCAACAGTGTGGTTCATTCACTGATTTTTATTCATTGAAAATTATTGCGAGCGTTAAATGAACTTTCTTTGTTTCATGTAATCAAGAGGCTCACAAAGTAGAAAAAAATGAGCCAAGAACAAAATGCCAATGAAAGTGGACCAAGTGCCAAGAAAATGAAACCGAATGATGAAGACAATAATCCAGCTGCTGTGAACGGAGAACAACAATTGGCTGATATTTTTAAACTAAACATCGACTGTTTCGAAGAAGTGTTCGACTATTTATCGCTGGGGGATTTGGCAAACTTGGGTCAAACATGTAAACGAATGCAACGCATAGCCGGTCATTGTTTTCAACTAAACTATGGAGCCGCACAAATAAAATTCAGTGGAGTTTTTTCTTTCCTTGGTGGTTTCAAGATAGATTGTTTTAAAGATTTCTTTCAAAACGTATTCCTTATCAGAGATGTTGAGAATCATATGATGAATTTTGTATCTGCATTGAAACATTCAGCATCAATCAAAAGAATCGAAATTGGTTATTTTCGTTTAAGAATGGCTCTGATTACTGAAATGAAAGAAATTCTAAGTAAGGCTGAAAGCGTAACAATAAATGGTTATGATGAAAATGGAAATGAACTGGACACATTAATTGCTGCTTGCTCTCCAAATGTTAAATATTTATCCTTGAGTGAAAAACCAAAGAAACACGAATGGATGTATCGATTTTACCCAGCATTGACACGCTTTGATTGGGAAGAAATACCAGAATTAGAAACATTCCTTGAACTTAACACAACAATTAATCAATTAACTGTCAATACGAAAATCTTCTGGTCAAACAGAGAGTTATTCAAAAATTCAAACATCAAATTTGATACATTGTCGATTGGTTATGATGGCAAAGTTGAAATTCAATTATTTTGCCGTTTGCTAAATGAGCTCTACGAGATGGGATTTTATAAGAAACTTAAATTTTTCGATAAATTATCTACTCATCAAGAAATTATCGATGCGTTGGCTACAGTTAAAGGACTGGTAAAATTTCGTGCCGCATTGGATAACTATGGTGTTACCGTCGGTGCTTTGAGAAACTTGGAAGAACTTTGCGTCTTCGAGAGTCATTCTATTACTGATCTGAAGTTAATTCCACATATGCTTTCGAACCTGAAACGCCTTCATTTCATAACAGCCGATTCTGATTACATTTTACCAATTGTTCGCCATGCAGAGAGAGTGAACAAAATTAAAGTCAAATATTTTCGTTGTGGATCACATTTCGACGGAAATAATAAAATTCTCGATTTATTGGCGTTGAATAAGGAGCGTGAGAAATTAGTTGGAGCGCGCAAGATCACGATCTACGTCGAGGAAAATGTGTATTTGGCAACGAAATGGGCAATAAAACACATTGGTGTAACTAATAAATAATAATTAA